AGACTACAGTATGTTAAGTTATAATAAGTTAGCCTTTGTTTTAGTGGGACTTTGAGGTAAAACCGGCCAATTCACAGCTGATCATAGCAAGTTCACCACCAGAATACTCACTCGTAGGAGGTATGAATCAACGCTCATTTTCTTTGTCTAACTTGTGTGCCAAAATCGCCTCTACTTCTTTACCATCAATTTATTACTTTCTTTGTCACAAATAAAGGTAGAATGTAGTGATAATTTATTTTATTGCCGTCTCTGCTTCTTGTAATTTTTAATTATTGTTTTGTCTGGTTCGTGTGTGTGTGTGCGCGCGTGTGCGTACGTTGGGATTCGAAACCACATTTCTACGACCTAACCATACAGAAAAACATAAAACAAAACAAGACAAAAACAGCACTTGTCAAGGGAAATAAAATCTATGTCAGTCTAAAAGCTTTGTACGGTAAATTCCCCACGGTAACGGGATAGGAAGGGCGCATTTAGTTGCCGTAGTCTAGCCTAGCCACCAGCAGCTGTGTCGTAACTTAAGTAACTCATGCGTTTACACAACTCTCTTACGGGCAAAAAGATAACGTACGAACTTTAGGGAATCCGATTCCTGGCAGCGGCTCACTAAACCCTCACACACACAAAAAAATCATATCCGTACTGCATATATAATGTTTAATTTATCTTAAAACTTCAGCTGGTGACTTATTGTTAACGTAACTAATCTTCGGGTAGGTGGGGGGGGAGCTAATTAACAACTTGGGTTTAAGTGGCTTCCTACAATTAATGTCCAAGCTGTTGAGAGAGAGAGGGAGAGTCTTGACAAAGTTGACACCCTATTCGTAATAGTTCACTCCATTTCTGTTGGATGAGTATGCAATCAAAATATAATTATGAATCGTCATATTCTTAGTCATGGCCAAAAAGATACTGACAACAGACACTATTTGGACAACCAACATCCGGAAAACAGCTCATCACAAGCAATACCATCCATTGTTGTTAGACGTTGCCTTCATCTCCTAAAACATTTAACTAGTTTCTCACACAATTTCCCAATATAAAATAAAACCGTAACTGAGATATTATTTTTTTATTTATTATTTCACTTTCATATTAACTGTTAGTACGGTGATTGTAGTGTACTGTGCAATATTTCATTTGAACTGCAACGATACGTAAACAATAGATTGGTCGCCTTGCGGGTAAACACGTACGGTAACCCAGCGATGTCACAGCCTCGTATTTTTATCGGTTCATAAAAATAGTCCCCGAGAAGACACGTGCGGTCGAGCTTTCTGGCCGAGGACGAGAGATCTAGGCTCTGTGTATCGCTCATGGCTGACAACAGAGACACTGGACACAAAATAAAAGAGACAAAAGTCAATGTAACGTCGCTTGGAACACGAAATGATACGAGCTTTAACGTACAGTGGATTGACGATTATACACTCACTGGTTTCATTCTTACCGTTGCTAGGTGCGGCAACTGGGTACAATATAACCAGACATTTTCTTACTGAATAATATTTCACCGGATGTTATCAGCAGCCAGTTCTCACCGGACAAGTATTAACGGAGTCTAAAACGGGAAATAATATTAACAGGAACCTACATTAACGGGAAGTAACATTAACAGGAGCTTATATTAACAGGAAGCAACATTAACAGGAACCTACATTAACAGGAAGTAATATTAACAGGAGCCTATATTAACAGGAAGTAACATTAACAGGAACCTATATCAACAGGAATCTACAGTAACGGGAAGTAACATTAACAGGAACCTATATCAACAGGAACCTACATTAACGGGAAGTAACATTAACAGGAGCCTATATTAACAGGAACCTACATTAACGGGAAGTAACATTAACAGGAACCTATATTAACAGGAAGTAACATTAACAGGAACCTATATCAACAGGAACCTACAGTAACGGGAAGTAACATTAACAGGAACCTATATTAACGGGAAGCAACATTAACAGGAACCTACATTAACAGGAAGTAATATTAACAGGAGCCTATATTAACAGGAAGTAACATTAACAGGAACCTATATCAACAGGAACCTACAGTAACGGGAAGCAACATTAACAGGAACCTATATTAACAGGAACCTATATTAACAGGAACCTATATTAACAGGCGCTTATATTAACAGGAAGCAACATTAACGTGAAGTAACGTTAACAGGAACCCACATTAACGGGAAATAACATTAACAGGAACTTATATCAACAGGAACCTACATTAACAGGAACTTATTAACAGGAACCCATATTAACAGGAACCCATATTAACAGGAAGTAACAGTAACAGGAGCCTACATTAACGAGAAGTAACATTAACAGGAACGTAGTGAAGGGGTTAATATTTTAATGTACTAAAATGATCCTCTTTTGTTTCTATAGACTACGTATAGTATTTCTCTTATACTTTCCACTGTAAATATCCAATCAGGCGACACACTAAAATGTAATATAAAAATTACAGTATTTTCCTTGCAGTGGGATTTGTTGCCCAATATTTTGACTTTAAAGTTAAATAATGGAGGACTACAGCGAACATAAAGTAGATTATATAATTAACGATTGAAAAGCTAAATGAGTGTTATTGTATCATAAAGCATCAGGATATGAGGTTGGATTTTAATCATTCATTCAGAAGCTATAATGTTTTTTTTTTAATTATTCGTCTACTATTCGGGTCTGGAGTTAAGAACTGACTCTCATAAGTTTATTATTCCAAGAACTTTATGAAATATTTCGGATTTTCATCTTGTTAATATGTTCAAAAACTCGTTGTCTGGGGATGAATTGGGGTCACATAAGTGTCTTGATTCTGATAACATAGGATAATGAGGCTGATAAGGAAATGGTCTGTGGTGAACACAATAAGATAAAAACAATTTACACAAGCTTTATATAACAGCCACCAAACTGTAAATCTAAATTATCGGGTACAAGCAAGTGGTGACAGACCCCCTGCTGAATGATATGTAATCTACTGTTACGTCTGGCGGCATGCCGGGAGTCACGTACTGACCTCATAAGTAACATTATTTACAAGTTTTCCCTTTGATGACAAATATATGCACAGTCTGGGTATGAACAGTGACAATATAAATGTGCTCATTAAATCAACGTTTTACGAATTAATTTCCCCAGCAAATCCCTAACGAACACAAAATATGGACCACAATGGAAATAAGCTTTGAAAGACCTTCTTAAGCTTTCCTCAGCTGAATCAACTGCAGTGAGATGCAGTCCCTCGCCAGGAACATATCAGTCACTTGGAACAGGATGAGAAATATCATGGCCAAGAAAAACTGAGCGAGTTTGAGTGTTTAGACAACTAAAGTATAAGTGTACAGCAGTGAATGATGTACTGGACCAGTCAGTAACCAGACGATGACCCCTTTGTTGTGTGTTTTGAAGGAAATCGACCCTAACAGAGGTCACCCCCCCAAAAAAATAGAAAAAAAAATGAACAAAGGAGTCACCGCGGATTTAACCATTTTGTATTTATTTAGTTAAGACTAAGTGGTCTCCCTACAGGTCTAGAGAGGAACATCCCTCCAATGTTCGTACAGTGGGAAGCTGAAATATCCGGAGAGAATGTGTCATCCTGTTCGGTAGTGTCGTAGTTAACACTTTTTTCATCCAGTACAATCAGGTATCGAACCCAACCCACACTGGTGTGAAGCAAGCGTCTTTCTTTGGTTATGGCTTTGTTGGTTAACCTTGGTCGAATAGCCTTACTGTTTATCACTTGTATACCCGCATTGTCTGGGTCCATGTTTACAGTACTTGCACTGAATAATAAAATAAGTAACCGTTCGGCCAGTAGGTGTGTTCTTTGTTACGACCTTCACCTTCGACTGCATTGCCTTTACACATGCTGAATCAATGTAGGGTTGTATGACTATTTTACTGAATAAAACTTATCCGATCTGACCCTTGGTTGAATCACCATACTGTTTATCAATGTATACTTTCACTATCTAGGAGCTACTCACTGGGACTCTAGGTACAAATGTCCAAGTTTGGACAATCCCCAACATGACGTGCATGATTTTAACCCAATATGCGGTATTATTTTTCCACAAGCACCATAGAAAAAAATATCGCTAATTTCTAAATGTTTTAAATTGTTTATAGTGAAAACAATCCATATGATATACGTGTTTCCAATATCACAAAATATTTATTAAAACCCGTTAGTGAACACGGCTCTAAAGTAGAGAAAATATTACAAAACTATTAAATCAGCCAAATTACAGGTAGCTACAGTCGTTCATGTTGTGTAACTAGATTTGTTACAATAAATGGCAAAAACTACAGTTGTCTCTCACTGTAATTTCAATGTTATAAGTTCCTGTTAAAGTGAAAACTTTATACTTTTTTCACTAATTAGCTGACGAGGTGGCTGGTCCTCCGTTCCGCACTGTTGGCAACATGTACTGACCGGTAAATGCACCTGAACATGTGCCAGTGTTGGTCTAGTCAGGACTTACGGAGCTCTTATCTGGTGCTGTAAGCCTGTAACAACGCTTTGTGACATCGTGTGGCGATTACATTCCAATAAGAACAATTCCCAAGCAGAAGATCGACGACGATTTACCCTTACCTAATCGTCTAAATGGAAAGGCAAAAATTCCATAGAACAGACGATAGTGGTGCGGTTATCTGCTAACTCAGGTGTATACTGAACATATGATAGTAATTACCTTGAGGTGCTTATTAACTTGTATTAAATCGCCCTCTGCCCTTTCTGTAGTATAAGTGGATAACTATAGACATTTTAATATCTCCCAGGGTAAGTGAGATGTAGTTCTGACATCAATTTTGTAGTTCACCTTCGGACCTTGTGTTTTCCTTGTTCCTCCCTCGGATTTATGGTCTACTAAGCAATAAAACGTCGTATGTTTTATTGAAGGTACCATGGGAAAAAATTCGTCATTAGTGGTGACTACTGACTAGACAACACATCTACTGCAAGTTTACTATTTTTGGTGCCTGGATTTCCCCCTGGCTACGGTCCCAGGCCACCCAGGGTATTAAAACTACTATCCCCAAATTATGCCTCATAACAACAGGAGCGGACAACCTGTATAACGACTTTCCTGAATTAATATCCATTTATCTACACAATGTCTTGGGGCTTTAACCTTGACCATGAAATCCGGATTATCCATCTTGGCTATGAGAACCACAACAGACAGACGCAACATGACACCTACACCTCATTAATGATTACACCTTAATTTAAAACACTGCAGGTATGTTTATTTGTTGTTTTGTAAAACTATATGACAGGTATAATTGTGTTTGATTTTAAGTAACAATGTGTAATTCGTTTCAAGTAATGGATTGACCTTGAAGAAAGATGTGTATAAGCTGCAGAAACTTTATATTGACCACCAGACACTGATAAACTCGGTCAGTCTTACGTGTATTTATATTCAATCGTATCCAAATTACGAACATACTTTATTAATATAACAAATTCTGAGTAAAATCATTAGGGCAGGTTTATTGCATATACAGTATATTGAGTTAAAGCATGACTGGATCAAACTGGATGTAAGAATTTTGGTCAAGAGTATGACCTTGTACTGTCTACGGAATCACATGATGAAGCCATAAGTGCTTGGCAGTGCTGCCCCAGCCACTGATCAGTGACCACACAGTACTGTACCGAGGTAAGATGTTAGATTATTATGACTGGCTGACATAGTATACTACTTGTACAGACCTACTTCAAGAGGCTTTTAATAAAGTTTAGTGGAGAAGAGTATAATGTACGGTACTGTGAGGAACAGAAAAAAAGTGATTTTCCATAAAATTAAACCAATAGTTTTGTATGTGTCAGTATTAATAGTCGTATAAACATGTACTGTACTATACAGTAATATATGTATTTTACTTGCTGTAAGCAATGAAATTACTGCTGCTCGCCTTGACCATGTTTATGGTACAAATTATACAGCCAACACCTCCACACAACAGGAGACCTAATGAACAACTTATTAAAGATCATTTGGTTAGGTTTGGATGGTTCATGTCACAGACTCTTACTACCAGGGGTCCGACGGGTCCGACTAATTACCCAAATGTAGCCAAATGTAGCCGCAATGAAGTCAAATAATGGTCCTACATGAATAAATCGGACTGCCAACCACTTCTCGACTGGTATTTGGTGTCACGAAGTCACAAAAAATTGGAAAACTTAATTTAATCTGAGTTAATAGATCAAGTGCATGTACCTAACCTAACCTAACACAACTCAAATTAAATTAAGTTTACCAATTTTTTTTACTTTATGACACCAAATAATAATCGAGAAGTGATTCACAGCCCGATTTACGCTTGTACGACCATCATTTGACTTCATTGCGGCTACATTTGGGTAATTGCTCGCTCCCTCGGTACATGCACGCGATCTATTAACTCAGATTAAAATAAGTTTTCCAATTTTTTGTGACTTTCTGACACCATATACTAGTCGAGAAATGATTAGCAGTCCGATTTATTCATGTAGGACCATTATTTGACTTCATTGCGGCTACATTTGGGTAATTAGTCGGACCGTACTACCAGTGCTATAAATAAAACACACCAGTAAAAATCCATTAAAAAATATTGTAGCAGAACTAAATCGAGGTTTTTGAGATAAAATATCAAACTTTTTCTAAGTTATCCAGTAGGGAAGTGAGGTGTATCACAGAATGCTATCCAAAGGTAACACTCATTTTAAAAATCTGATTTAATCAGTCTGTAGCCATATTAGAAAATGAGTGGTTTCATTACTTCAGTTAGGTTTGGGATGTAAAATCAAGTAAGTCAAACTAAATTTATCAAGTCGAACTACTTGAGGTTACTAACTACATACTCATGTGTGAAAATAGATTTCATTTAAAATTTGCCAGATTTGAATATGGTTATGTCAGCAGCAATTGGTGTGTCTAGACAGTTAAGGAACATAAGAGTACAGTAATAATAAGAATAATACTGTCCTGCACTATTTATGTAGTAAGCTACCTGTACAACATACTCTTCTTTACAATGTGTAGAGAGTGCATATGACATTGAAGGAAGTATTTAGTATGCAAGTGCAGTACAGTAGTTACCTACCACCTCTGCATACTAAATATATTAAGTTTTCACTTTCATTGTCTTGTTGATTAACTGAATGACTATTGTATGTACATTAGTTTAGCAATCACAGTATTAATATTTTTTAATAATCATGTGAGAGTAGTGTAAATGTATATCTGTTTGTATGTATTTGTGGATATACATAATATGCATCATAATATAACTATCCTCACACTGAAACTTAAATCTTTCCACCACTCATTTCAACCATAAGTGATCAGATGGTTTAAGAATATCTCTTTATGTATAGTACTCTACTCTAATGCATAATCTTGAGAATACTCTATCATTAGTGGCTGGGAACAAGGGCAGACACACACACACTCTCCCTCCCTACATTCATTAATTCTTACTACTGTACTGTACTAAATTAATTATAGTATACTTTGTCATATTTCTAATATTTATGGGTTTCAGGCCTTGTAAACTGTGTAAGCTGTCATGCCAATTATTTTAGCAGACAGTACAAAGATGACGACTGAAGATAAAGATCCCAACCATGACGCAAGTAAGTTCAATACTGTTCACTTAGGTAAAAACAACTCATTAATTAACCCTTACTAGTGATAACATAATCTCTCAGGTCAGTATCAAGTCCTTTATTAGGGTATTATAATGTCTGAAGGGGTGTCACTAATAAAGATGAGTGGAAATAGGTTAAAATATTATACACTGATGCTTAACTCGGGTAAATCATATAATGTGCAGCGAGATTTGGCATTCCCGGGCTTCCATCTAATGACTGGAACTGATCTGTTAATTACTTTGTTCTTTTCCGTCGTGTCTCAGTTTCTAAACGAGACTCGGTGACTACAAAAGTTACTAGTGAAGCCTGAGTGCAGTGTCTGTATTGCCACTCTAACACAGGTGATCTACAGAGCATAATTTCAAGTTAAATCCTGAGTTTCTATCTCCTGATGGAATAGGAGAGGTGCTTCTTGGTTAATTTTATCCCTGTTGTAGCCAAGTAATACTCTTCTAATAATTTCAATACTTTCCTTAAGATGACAGTGGATATAATCTAACTGGTTGGTATTAATGCTAGTTTTCTCACGTTGCATATTTACATTTGCTTAGTAACCCAGTTTGAGTGTACGTAGTTGGAGAATTGTTTTGTCGTAGCTTCACAAATAACGCTTTGCCCAATTCCACAGTGATTAGCTCAGCTTATCTTAGGATACTGTAGTCCTATTCCAAGGATAGGTGTCTGGTCTAAGGATTTACTGGCATAATTCAGAATGTAGTATCACCAAACTTCCATTTTGAATAGTTGGCCATTGATTTTTCCAAGACTAGGGTGATGGCAAGGCTTGAGGTCCTTAAATACAGTACAGTACATCTTCCTTCAGGGTTCTCACTACTTTCAGCAGCTGTTAAAAAATTCTCTCATTCTCCCTCCCTTTTCCTCATTTTTCTTCAATATGTTGTATGTCCTCTTGTATTCTTGACTTACTTCTATTGTTTTCTTGGAATTCTCACTCCATTTGGTTCTCTCCAGATCTGATTTCTGATCAGTTTGGAGGTACAGTCATGTTTCTGTCAGCTGCTCAATCTTTATATCGGCTTGAAGGGTTAGACAATAAAGAATAGATGTATGCTTTATTCCAGTATCTGACAATATGATGAAAGCTTGGGATGGGGTATAGGACCTCAGTGGTGCTGAATATACACTGACCTGTACATACAAGTACAGACAGATATTCTTAGTAAATATATATCATTAAAGGATTTTGCATTTTGCATTTTGAAGTTGGAAAATAATTGCCTAAAGCTTTAATAGCTCAGCTTTTATTTCAGACCATCATGTTCACTTTTCTGAAGACACAGATCAAATGGGCAACACCGCCATAGTCATCAAGGAAAAATCTGCTGGTAATGAATATGAAGCCCATGTAGGGTTCCTTCAGGTAAGTATTTACATGAAAGTTTCGTTATGTGCAGTGACTATATACACCACAGATATCTGGTATGACTCCACATTAGTAGGAGTTAAAAAAGTACACATAGTTTATCTCATACATCCAGGACTTTATGCACAATTTCCAACCCAAACTCTAACTGTTTAGATTCTAGGATCTAAAATGAAAACGTTCTGCAATTCAAAATTATATTTTTTTTCCACCTAATTGAAATTGAAAAAAAAAAATTGAGAATATAAGATGTGGAGTATTTTCTTTCTAAGGTGTAGAAAAATCTATATCTCTCCTAAAAAACAGACTTAATAAAATAAACACAATTTATTCTGAAGTTACAAACTTGAAAATTGCTGTGTAAATAATTTACACACAAATCAAAGTTAATTTCTTAAGGGGAAAAATGCTTCGCTTTACTAGATCTGAGAAGGCCTTTTGTTATCTCCCAGGTTTTCTCTATTCACAAATGAACCACTACTATTAAAGGTCTTTATTGATAAGATTGTCACTTTTATCTGTCATTCCATGCCACCTGAGGTTTAGTTTAGCATTTAACTGGTCTAAACTCCGCACATTTTTGTCAATGACGTAGACAACTAACTTCCTAAAGGTCCCAGGAATAGGTACAGTAGGCTGGTAAGGTTTCACGGCCAGGTTTAAAATAATTGTTTCTATAGTCGAGATAAATGCCGGCACATACTGTCAATGAATATTTTATTCTAATAAAAAATTTGCAGTGAGATGAAACCCTACACTTGAGGCTGTATGGACTACTCGATATATATTTATTATTTTTCAGCTTCATCATCGATATCTGATCACAGTAAGACTACCATTAAAGGATGCCAGTGATGGGTATCAAGTGGGACAAATACAAGGTGTTTACTGCCATGCTCAGAGACTCCAGGTAAAGTTGGCTCTTAAACGTGCTTATATTCTTATAAAACGGCAGCATGACTATGAGAGCATTATACCTGTACATACGTTTCTGGGTGTGGGTGAGGTACAGTAGATTAGGAAAAACACTGTACTTGGCTGAATCATAATTTAAATATACACTTTACTGTACTATGTCATGCAGGAGCTCTATACAGTACAGTACGTGAATACTTTTTTACAGTTCATTAACTTAGGGAAAAAATTTATTTGTGATTGATTGAAGGAAAAAAAATGATTTGTGTGATTGACTGTGACTCTATAACCCACTAAACTTATTACTTTCCCTTTTAACAGGAGGTTGAGGATGGCCTGGAGGTGACCCTTGAACTGTTAGCCCACAAGGAAAAATTACTCCGCGAGAAGATAATCCTACTAAGACCTACTGGAAGTGAACTCAAACTGACTGTTCTCGCTCGTGTCTTAGGTATGTAATAACTCGAGACAGATTTTTTGAGGTTTATAATATTGTATAATGAAAATTTTATTTAATGAACTATAGGGTGAGGAAAGTTTGTTATATCGAGGGTCAGTAAGATGTGGGACCTCCATCTAATGAACTGTATAGAGATGGGAGTCCTTTATATTGAGGTTATACCGTATACAGTATTTTGACGTATGTGATGTTTTCCCGTGTTTTTTCTATTAATGTCTTTTTCCGACATTCTTTCCGTTTATTTTACTCAATTATTTGTGTTTACTCTGTAACATCCCTATAGTGCCCATCTGTGTCTTGTTCACTGTTCAATCATTAACTTGGTCTCTTTGAACCTAAATACAGCATTGATGGTTTATAATTATATCTGTACTAACAAATTAACCTTCATTTGTTTCTATACTGCTTACATGTACTTAAGATCACTCCAAGATTATAGGATATCCTTTATTTTGGCTTTCTAGTCTCCTTTGAGTTGTCTATATTTCAAACAAACTTTCACTTACTGTAGCATCAGATAAAGTTTCCTCTTCTACTTAAGTACATCTTTACATAATGATTTTCTATCTTATCATGTCTGTCTTTCACACCACACTCTTTTCAGTAAACAGTATCTCAATATTTCTTCCCATTATTCTAAGTCTTTGTTAAGTTATTGTGTTTTCCGCAGGTAGAGGAAAAGGAACGCCAATGTTACGCGATGGCATACACTGCATCAGCGTCGAGCCGGATGATGACTCGGAAAGCACTGACTGGCAAGGCTTCACATAGACGCTCAGATTCACGATAATTACTACATAAACGGCGTGTTCGTCCCTTATCACACATTCCTTCACTAGTGTTTAATCTACTCTCATAACATTTTTAATGATACTATACATTTCCATTCTCATATTGGATGAGCATGCCAAATATTAAACATCCAAAATATTATCTTTGGAATATTATTAATGTTGAAATACTGTAATGCTGTTTTATGATATTTGTTTGGTTGTTTTATGTACAGGTTACCTTCATTTATGCTGGCTTGGCAACAACTAGATTCATATATAAGCAGCTAATGTTTACTATCCAAGTTTCATTTATCTGGGTAACGTTCACAAGTATGTGCATGAAACACAACCCTTGGTGTAAATGAGGAACACCTATATGTATACTGTATATGTATACATACGTACATACATATATATTTAATACTATACCACTTCATATTAAAGTGGTTACATAATACCACTCATACATACTGTATTTCCACATTTTGTTAACCTCATCTATTACATGTACTGTACTGTAACTGTACTGTACTGTACTGTACTCTACTGTACTCTACTGTACTGTACTGTACTATACTGTACTCTACTGTACTCTACTGTACTGTACTATATTTAGCAGTGAATATATTATGACATGCAAGTTTCTTTAGGTGTTTATGATGATGTACTTTTGGATTCTTTACAAGATAAAATTATATGTGCCATTATTAAACCTCTTAACCTTTATGATAAGTAAGAAAAATCATAAATATATAGAATTAAAGGAAAAAATCTGTTTGCTTCTGTTCCTCCAAACTATCGTGCTTTTTCCCAAGCTCTTAATATGAATGACTCCAGGACATGATCAAGAGAAATGTTAAAAAGGTGGTGACCCAAACCTGAGTTTCTGTGAAGAAAAAATTGAAGGTGAGGAACCCAGTAGTGAAGATGATGAAGATGTTGGGAGTATGGACTGTACTGTACAGTATGGCCAAGAATCAGAGACACACAGGAATCCCCTCCAGCTATGACCAGGCAAGTTTATAATGACTCATAATTTTATTTTTATGTTATGTTAGTAACTGTAGTATTATGTTTTATTTTCTGTAATATCATATTTTGTGGACAGTATTGTAAGCATCTGTGAGATAGTGAGACAAATTGCCTTGGCTCCTATACTAATGTAAAGCTCAATAATTTGCTCAAAATTAAAATAATATAATGTACAAGTCATGATTTCCTTTATAAGTACAGTTTCACTAGTAATGGCCCACGTACTTGAAAATTTCAGAATAGAGTAATTCATAAGCTAGGTCTTATAAGACAAGACTCTTCAGTCCTATTGTAACTACTGTACCACTAACTACTACTGTACTCTACTACAATAAGTGTTACCTACAGGACTATAAAATCAACTCACCCAGTAATTGCGGAAAGCATTACACTGTATCAGGCAACCTCATTATCTCGACTGACTGACTGACTGACTGACTCTCCCAATAACTGTAATAAAAAGTTTGGAAGAGTGATGACGTAAGGTAGTGGTAAGACCAACGCTCAACAAAATAGAAAAAAAAAATTGTACAAATGATTCTATCTTTTTTGGTAAAACAAAAGTAATTGTATTTTTAACAGGAAGATCCCTATTGCTTATATTATTACATTTATGGAATGAAAATGTTTATAGGAGGCATGACATGTATTTCTTGTACTGTATCAGCTATTAAGTTACTCTCCTCAGTACAGTACTGTAGTCTGTTCTACTCATACCCCCGTGATATTGGTGACCAAGATTGGTGTCATTAAATGAGGCTGTTGGTCATTGTTTGAAAGCATTGTACTGTACAGATAGTTAATTATTTAAATTCTATGAGGCCAAAAGAAAACCACAGAATACAATACAATACAGTACAGTACAGTTCCTTGGAAAGGATAATAATCTTTGATTAAAAATTACTCACAATGTGGTGTGTAATTTGTGAACTGTGTACTGTTAAAGAAGCAGATTTCAATACTGTATTTAGCTAGTTATTAAATCTGCTCAATATATTTAATTTATGAAATAAAATTTTGCAGTGACCAGCAGGTCAGGTATCATAAGAGTACAGTACATGGTTTAAAACTGTCTTATGTTCATTGTTAAAAGTGTATTTTGTGAACCCAGATACTGTTTATGAATTAACCAGAATACTTTATACCGAGGGGTTAAGGATTCACTTAGTATACATTGTATGTAAGTTAAATGTGTGTGTGTGTGTGTGTGTACCTGCTTCACTGCTCTCCTCCACAATCTCCTTTTATAGAGGCTTCTGCTTGCCTTGCTCTATCCCACATAAACACATTAGTGATTTACTTACAACTGACAGACTAAATCACTCTTACTTGCTTACGTCCTAATACACAATGAACTGAAACTATTGTGCTGATAAAACAAGAATTAAGTTTCATTTAATGACACTTAACCCTGATTAATCATTCATAATTGTGTCATTGAGTTGGGTGGCTCATGTACTCTCTCTGAATATCCAGTCAACAAAGTTAAATTTATTTTAATGTTTTTTTTGTCATCAATTATCCATCACCTTTGTCAATTATCCATCACCCTTGTCAATTATCCATCACCTTTGTCAATTATCCATCACATTTATCAATTATCCATCACCTTTGTCAATTATCCATCACATTTATTAATTATCCATCATCTTTGTCAATTATCCATCACCTTCCATTGTCATTTTCATCCACTTCTGTCTCCTTCAGGCACTTTAACACACAACCTTGATTCCACATTGTTTAAATAGAACCAAGTGACAGATTTCCTTTGAGATCATAAGTACTTTGTCAACCTCTCAGCCACACCTCTTATATCATAAACTACGAGTATTATTAAATTCTCATTATTAAACCGTAACCTGGCTACCGGTATATGAGACGTAACAATGCCTCAGGTATAATGAAAAGCACAATGACACAGTACATTATAGCAGAGATTAAGAGTACAGTATCATGCAGTTTTCATGTTGTTATGATGAAAATAATGAACAGAATGAAATATCCACCAAAAGCTTCATGGTTGTAGCGTACAAAGAAGTGTTGATGTACTAGTTTTTTGTGAATAAATAGGCTGACATACACAACTGGCTATTGACTTTATAAAAATTAAGACCTACAGTACACTCAAGATATTACAGACATATGAATATTAAGATCTCTATATAGTACATTTATTTAGCTTAATTGTGATATACTGTGAGAATTACCATATACAACTAACTGTACTGTGATGTAGATATATACCAAAACATCTTTCACAGTTTATCTATATACTGTATAGTTAAATGTGATACAGTTTACTGCAGTCATATACTCTTGAGGCATAGAACTGCTGTACACATACGAGGATAATCTTCTGCTGTTGATACTTACAAGATGTGTTAACTTGTACTGTAATGCTTTGCTGAGTCCTATATTTACACAACTGGTTTAAGGTAATATATCCTAGTTAACTAATATGGCTGGCAAAAATTTACACAGGAAACTTTTGTGTTGCACATGGATATGTAAGTATCATACAGAAGTAAAGTGTTTACTCATTCAGCAGCGTCCATTCTAAATATTTACCTCAGATTTGCCTGGAAAATTCATTGTCTTATCAGCACACTATCAGAAAAGTGGTGGCACTTCTCTTTCATTCATCACATATGCTGTATAATTTATAATAATTTCTTCTTTGGTTGATCACACCAAGCTCTCTGAAGCTCTCCCTTTCTTGCTCAAATTAGTATTTAAAGATTTCCTTCCGTCTTCCCTTTTACCATCCTCTTCACCACGCTGCCGCCTCTCCCTGGCATCTAAGGCAGCTTTCTGCATTATTGCTGCTGCCAACGCCACTTGAGATATCTGCAATTTTTTAGTTTAAGATTATCATCATTCAAGATACAGTATTGGAAAATATTAAAGTTAATTTATGGCATTTTTTTTATCTAAGATTTGCTCATCACATCACTATTCTGAACACTGTACTGTATATACTAAATGTTGATTCGATTAAAAAGTAAAGTAGGAAGGAGTATGGGGGACCTTGTAAGGGTTTGGAGCTGTGCACGAGTAAGTGTTTTTAATTTCCATACAGCGATACAGCTTTACACAAAATATCATCATGTACAGTATATATTATGACAAATATTACCTGAGAAAAGGACTGTGACTTAGGTGTCCTTTGTAGAGGACATGTAAATCCTTGTGTCTGATCTTGTTTGTTTTGATTCTTTTTAAACTCTTCTTCATCAGTAAATAACTGTGACTGGTGATGCTTAAGTGAGGAACACAAACCAGTTTTGTGTGAATTGTTCACTGCATTGACTAGGGCCTTAAGTTCCTTGTGCTGTTGTGTAGGAGAGTGGTAGCTTAACACAGGCAATCCACTGGGGTAGAAATCACTGTTTTGGGTAATGGTGCTGATGCCAGTGCCTTTATTTGGTAGTTGCTGGGTCTCACGGGGCGGTGTGTGGGCGTGTGAGGTGATGAGGCTGTGGATTGTTGGGCACTCCTTGGAGTACTCCAGTAGCTGGTCAACAAAATGAATTACTGTTACTGTAGTTCAATGTAAAGAAGTCATTAATAACTCCCAATAGAATTATTTATATCAGTCTGAAGTGAGGAAGATTAAGTCAAAATACTTAAAAGAATTAAATAAAATGTGTCACTCAAGACAAACCAGAGACACCTTAAAGTAATCCTTCTATTTGTTCATCCATTAAATAATCCACACATTGAAGAGTAAATCTTATGAGGTAATAATCTAGATTAAGAAAGGTAATAACAGACAGATAACCAATTCTCTCCTTACATAGAGGACAAACACTCCAAAGGTCATATTACCACCAGGCAGTTTATGTTCGTCAGTGTCTCTCTACAATAACAGCAATAACAATAATTCTAATGACCAAGATTCGAAGGTTATATGTCATCTCACCCTCAGTCTGGCTGTAAGTGCTTTACGTTGCTCCTCTTGCACTACTGGGTTGGTGCCTTCAGTAAAACTCTTACATTTGGAAAGGTTTAATGAGCTTTGCCCACTATCCGTGGCTCCTCCACTTCTCAAGAGCAGCTGTTGAACCAAGTCAGGTAGATCCATAGAGTTGTTGGTCAGTTGAAGCTGCTGCAGGAGGTCCACCACACGCTGCAGGTCCGGCTTACTCCTCTGCTGTTTACTGGAGTCTTGGCCGGGAGACTTAAAGCTACTGCAGCAGTCATCATCCAGTCCATATTGTGGCTGATTCTTTAACAACATTAGATGGTCAGAATGAATCTCTTTTGTCACAAATTTGCAACAGCTTCACATAAATCAGGATTTGAAAAGTTATTATTGCATGATAATTTTCAACCACTGCTTATAAATTTTTGATACGTATGCAGTATAATAATTTTTCTGTGCAAGTTAATTTTTTAGAATAATGTATAAATGAATTTTCAGTACTGTACTGTACAAGTACTCCCCGACTTACGACGGGGTTAGGAACTGACATAGACATCGTAAGTCGGAAATGCTTAAATAACACATAGAAAATCGAAAACTTGGGTCTCTTTTTCTTCTCAGCACCACAAAACACTCACTTTTAAGCTTGCCAGCCATTTTAAAGTGAATTACAGATGAAAATTTTGTCTGTGTACTGACTTTGGGACTCAAAAATACATAATTTGACCACATTTTGGTACGACTGAGGCAGGTCGTAAGTGCGGGTGGACGTAAGTCGAGTCGGTCGTAAGTCGGGGAGTGCCTGTACTTTGTTTTAAGTCAAGCATTATTCCCTACAACCAGCAGTAAAATATAATTATTTACATGTACAGTAGCTAAAACAACTATCTGTGCAGGTGTGACTAGTGACAGCCCTCCGTGTGACTAGTGACAGCCCTCCGTGTGACTAGTGACAGCCCTCCGTGTGACTAGTGACAGCCCTCCGTGTGACTAGTGACAGCTCTCCGTGTGACTAGTGACAGCCCTCATATACCAATATTTATCGTCCATGGTCTCATATTGTTTCCCACAAAGTATACACAGAGAGTTGTTTTAGCTACTGTACATTACATATAAAAAAGATGGCAGTGAAGCAGCATTGTCCATGAGAGTTGTTTTAGCTACTGTACATTACATATAAAAAAGATGGCAGTGAAGCAGCATTGTCCATGACCAAAATATACCGTATAGCACGGAGTAACTGAGTGATGGGTAAAACTACAGAGTGTGAAGCTACAGGGATAAACCTGATAAATATTTGGGGATTTATTATGGAAGAGGGACACCATATCAGAACACATATTACAACAATAGTTAAGGAGAGTCTGAGTTGGATGTTGATTTATGCCACTCTACAACATATGGGGGGAAAAATTGCCCAAAATGACAAAAATAAAGTAAAATAAAGTCACCTTATTTAAGATCTGATGGATCAAGAGTCATTAACTTACCCTGACAACATCACCACCACCACCACTCTCATCATCAAACTTTCCCTTCACTACACCGGCTCTCAGGTCGCCGTTCCTCACACCTTCAACTCGGCTCTTGGATGATGGGTCTGTCTGAACACCTCGCAGTGAGTCCGCATTAGTACTTCTTTGGGAGATTAACTTCTTTATGATTTTGGCCTGTTGGGGACTGGAGACGACATGATGGTTATAATGAGAACTTGTTAATGACATTGACATTAATCTGCATAAACTGAGAGGACCAACACCACCAATGACCAAGATTAATAAAAAAATCTTATATAAACTTTGTAAATTTTGAGATATAACACCAACCAAAATCAAGTGGTGTGTCAAGCAGATCTGTGATGAATATTATTTTCATATTTCATTTTGTCTTACTATGTACAAAGTTATGATTTAATAACATGGGGATGCTTGTTAATTATATGGTTAGGTCTGATTAAAGTGATACAATTATGTTAAACTATTATGCGTATCCTTTATAGTTAAACTGGTCAAATGATTCAGTATTGTATCAGACCAGAGTCAAGTAATCCACTGTAGTAGGTTATATATTTACCAGATGCTGTCTACCTTGATTTAAGTTATACGGTACATAACTACAGTATAGTGGTAATTAACAGATCATTAACATAAACACTACTTATAGAGGCTGAGAGACTTTTATATGAAAACTAAACATCAGTAATTAACTATAGAGAAGCCTGGAGTAATTATAAATGTTAAGTAATAAACACTTCAGGACATGTATGTGTCAGAAACAGGTGATCTGGGTAAAGCTTAAGTGATGGAGATGTGGACGTGACTGTACAAAGTAACATTAATTATTATTAATAGAGAAGACATTTATAATTTTAAATATTAGTATAGTAATTAAATAACTGATAGTGATCAATACATATAGTACATTAAAATGCATATTATACGGTCTATTAATGTATACTAAAGAGAAACAGTTTACTAAATATCACAGAATAACTTTAAACAGCACAGTAATGATATAGTGACTTGTAGCCCCACCTAGCTTTGGGATGGACACCCACAGCCTGGGTGAGCCTCACTGTGCTGCCCCAAGTGACCCCCTCCACAGCTCGCTGACCCACACCTGCCTCACCTAACACCAGCGGACATACTGATGTCTCATTCCTAGTCTCTTCCTCAGAGTCACTGGTTCATGAGTAGGGATGATGGAATTAAGTAAAAGACATAAGCCAGGCAATTAAGTGTTTGAATTCATAACTTGACTGTTATACTGTATTCATGCCATCGTGTGTGTGTGTGTGTGTGTGTGTGTGTGTGTGTGTGTGTGTGTAACCCTAACATCAGAAGGAGGTACTAAGGATGGCATCTTAAGACAGCTACAGTAGCATCATCTGTGGCTTGTGATCAATAACTCAATGAAGAGATATTCCAGCAAGCTTCAGTCCATCCTATACAAGTCTTTATTAGGATCTAAGTATGTCTTGTACTCTTATGACCTTCTCCTGGTATGATGAGGGACAAAACATTTCTTCTTACACTTTTACAACTTCTATATAAACCACTGATGGGTTATCTAGGTCTGGCCACCATTGTCACAGGAACTCAACTGCATTAAACGGGTACCAATGAAAATATTGTTTGATAAGAAAACCACCTTCAATTATTAGCCTATAAAAAACACTAATAGTCAATCCCTTATTCAGTAAAGTGTGTTGTTGATATATTATGAGAGGGTTCCATTATCCTGTCACCACACAAGGTCCAATTCACATTATACATGATAGGAAATTTGATGTAACAAGTTGCTGATGATAGGAATTTGATGTAACAAGTTGCTGTCTATACTCCATGATATATTTTTAAGCCACAATAACTATATATCTGTCAGAACTTTATGAATTGTATATGATCTGAATCCTAAAGTTCTGAAAAAAAAAACTTGATGTTAGACCCCTCTTGTATATCACCAATCACTTCTATAACATTGGAACACAATCTCTTACCTGCTTGACCTTGACGATTGATTTTGGCTGGAACTACTCTGGCCAAAAGTGGTAGTACGAGTGCCTTTAGAACTTCTGTGTTTTCGCCATGGTCGCCCAACAAGTGCCTCCCACACCGCTTCTCCGACCTGACCCAAGATATCACAAGTTCTAGAAGACTATAATTACTATAATCACAATTTGATCTATCATTTTTATTCTAGTTCCAAATATAAGAGACAGATTATATACACCATTCCTCACAAGAGACAAAAATATCTGATCAGTTAACTCAAAAGTCCCAAAGGAATCGGAATTAAGATTTACACACGAACTAAACGTTTTATAACTACCAGTAATTTCTTTGCTCAATGATTGTTTCAAGAATGAGATTTACATAATAACCATCTGCAGTATTAAGGGAAAATATATTATAACAACTGGCATGACGTCACACAGCTTGACATCAAATTGCTTCACCTAACAGCCACTATGACTAATAACAAGTTTAGGAACCCTGGATAAGCCTTGGATATGAAGTTTGTGGTTTAAGGACTATTATCCATGGTTCCTGACTCACTAGGTATAGTGCACAAATCATAGGAGCTCTACCCATGGTTCCTGACTCACTAGGTATAGTACACAAATCATAGGAGCTCTACCCATGGTTCCTGACTCACTAGGTATAGTACACAAGTCATAGGAGCTCTACCCATGGTTCCTGACTCTCTAGGTATAGTACACAAATCATAGGAGCTCTACCCATGGTTCCTGACTCTCTAGGTATAGTACACAAGTCATAGGAGCTCTACCCATGGTTCCTGACTCTCTAGGTACTACAAATCAACAGTGTTCTTTCTTCAATGACTTCACTACATAAGCCTGGGTCTACACCTGATATTTACCTTCCTCTTCATATCAAAGCCAAGGAATATGAAGGCTCCCTGTAGACCATTGAGGACAGTGAAGGGGTACCAGCAGGCGGGGACATCAACAAAGGCGGCCATGAACCCAGTGATCCAGGACAACCCCTGAATCAGCCCAAGTTTGATGTACAAGATCAGTCGCACACGCTCCTTGGCACTCCTCCGACCCTATCAACACAGTACACTAATTACTCCCTTACATACAGGTATATTGTATATACCAGGTACTTAAACTTTACCAGGTTAAAAAACATTAAAATGCCACAAGGGTTAAAGAATAAATGAAAAACTAAAGTTACAAAATAAATGACTACATTAAAGTAAAAGGTTCCTTAATACTGTACTATGACCTACCTGTAGAATTTGTTTAAAACCTCCTTCCTTCTGCATCTTCCCAGGTTTTGAGTTCTTGGCACCCTGGGCTCCGTGTCCTTCCTTAACACTCTGGGACCGCCTGTTGGCATACCTGGCTGCTTTAACTTGTTTATATATCCCACAAGCGGTCACAAAGAAGAGAATAGTGTTTTCCAGAACGATGGCTCCAACAGGAAAGAGGAAGAACAATGCCAGGCCATACCGGTTGTTCAGCCAACACAAATCCGTAGCATACCCGGGACGGTACTCTGGGAGAACGTTGGTGTAATCGAAGACAAGTGATAAGGTGACAACAAGTGCGGGGATGGTCCACGCGTATATGGAGTAGAAGATGAAGCTCTGGCGTGCATCCGTGTCTCCCCTGTAGAGCTGGCTGGTAAATGTGCGACACACGTCCACACTCATAACATTCATCCAGCAGAAGGATGCCAGCCAAAAGTAGTGGAGTGCAGCAGAGATGAAGACACATAGCTCATGAATGTGGGTTCTCATCCCTGTGAGGAAGATAAGGTGAGCAATGAAGAGGCAACAGCTGAGACAGAAGAGGTTCTTCCCTGGCAGATTCCTGAAGCGTGGCACAAGAAGGTAGACGATGATGTGTAGTGCCAGACCAGCAAGAGATATAAGCAAAACTATTAAAGTCAACAAACTGTGAATTTCTGAAAATCCGGCCGTGTACTGGTAGTGGTCGTTGCAGACTAAAATCTTTGTTTCACTGTGCATTTCAAATTCACCCTTCTTATACACCTTCTTGGTGGTGTTGACAAACACTGAACCATCAGGTCGAGGAACATAATCATCTTCAAGAAGCTCAATCTTTGGGCAGGAGTTATCAAGCAGTGTAGAATTTCCTAATGACTGGTAAGCTGTGTAGTCCTTAACACATTCACCATTTTCAAGTTTGAAGAGACGCCCACAATAAATCTTCTTACAAGTTAAGTGAATGGGATCCCATAACTCATCAGCAGTGTTACAAGTGTTCTCCCTGAAGTCCATCAGCACTGAGAAACATGTAGGAAGGTTCCCTGAACCTGTACTTCTGTTGGACACACACTTCTTAGACAATAGGGAATGCACGCAGCTCACAGCACTAGAGGAGACATTAACAAAATTGCATCTAGCACAATGTGGATTTTTATAGACAGTTTCATGGCTGGTTCCATTCTTGTGCATGAAAAGTTGTGAGTATCGGCGACACTTTTCCCTATCCAGTTGGTCCGGCCAGGCGGGATCACAATGCCGCACCTGTCATAAGGAAACATAATTTAATCTAAGTTGAACAACCTCTGTATGCAGATTATGTAGTAAGCAGCATTTAACTATTTGTATATGAAACTAGCAACTCATCTCCTAGTACTAAATGTCCTCAACTCTCAGATAAAACCAAAGTGAATTAGAATAATAGATTCAACATTCTCTAATATTCTCAATAAGTTCTCCTCTAACCAGTGATGTAAGAATGTCTGTCACTGGTTCACTTATACAATGACATCACTAGTCACTGAAAAACCAATCAAAGAGTTTTTTAATTTTCTTTACTCAAATTAGTGGGAAGATTTACATATGAAGAAAGAATAATCCACACATAGGCACACAGGTTAACATGGCTCAAATTGTATACATTTCAGAATTATGGAAACACAGAAAATTACAACAAGGAAATTTTAGTGAGTTAATGATTTTAAAGAAACTGTACGTAATTATGAGACTGAGAAGAGATGTGAATATATGTCTGGCAAACTGGCATGGAGGCTAAATTTCTATGACGGATTAAAACCAGACTGCACTTGGTTACTTGCTGCTTGCAGATGTGTGTCCTGCTGCTGGGCTTCTTCTCACACACACCCTTGGGGTAGATACACAAGCGGCCACCATACTTCTTGATGAATTTATCTGACTTCTTGAACTCTAACACCTGCCGGGAGATGGAGACTGATCACTATACTGTTGGTAAATAGTCTACAATACAATACAGACATTTGTAAACTATGTAAATATTCCTATGTAATTTTTTTGAATTTAGCAAACATCACCATCGCTAATGACTCTACACAGGGTATAGGTGATGTAGACAGGATACATATGACTTCGGTGGGGGGTAGAACTCACATCGAAGTAGCACACGTGAAACTCGTCGGGGATAATGCGTTTCTCGTCCTCAGGTGAGCGGTAGGTGAAGCGCTGCCACTTCCTCAGGCCAGGTTGGTAGGTCGCCTTCTGCATGAATTCCACCAATGTGTAAGTCTTCAAGATCTGACCCGAGATAACAGTACTGATTAATGATAGTGATGATGACGTCGATTAATGAGATTACACATAAATCATTAACATTTATGACATGAATTAATGATATTGGACATAAATCGACCTATTGAGAGCATAATTAAAGACACCGAGGACCTGAATTAGTTTAAATTATTTTGTTGTTGTCTTATAAATAGTCACTAGACCTGAACGTAGGGTAGGGTAGGGTTGGTTGGGTTGGGTAGGGGAGGGGAGGGAAGGGTAGGGGAGGGTAGGGTAGGGTAGGGTTGGGTTGGGTATGGGTAGGGTAGGGTAGGGTAGGGCAGGGTTGGGGAGGGTAGGGTTGAAAATTATACTACGAGTGACTAAACAATTAATGACACAAACTGACAGTCGTATTATTAATGACCAATGTAAATTGTTTTAGTGATCAAAATTAATGACACAGAATTGATGAAAGATTAACAGATTCTTTAGGTGGTTGACTTAATTGGCCAATCATTTTAAGTAATGACCTGCCAGCAATTACGACTCTACTGTAATGATATAATATAATTTTACTACTACTACTACTAATAATAAAATAAGAAGAAAAATATTAATAATAACAATAATATCAGTAATAATAATGATAAAAAAAAGTTGCAATGGTAATAGTGTAGGAAAAGCTTATCACCACCAGGAGTAAAGACCACGACAGCTTCCTCACCACCACCGCTCTCCCAAGCGCTCCACAATGATTGATAATAGGCCGAGGAGAGTGAGGGTCACCAACAAGCGGCTGATCATTATCCCGACGAAGAAGAACACCGCAAAGAGGCGAGACTCATAGAAGCTGGAAGGGAGGAGGTGTTTGATCCAGTCTGTAATTGCTCTGGAGTCGAGAAACTCTTTTTTCTCCAGTGACACCAGGACTCCGGACCCCACAGTCATTACTAACACACCAACGTATAAACACAAACCGAAAGTAAAGAATCCAAGCATTTTATTTTTAATGTTTAATATGTAATTTTTTACCTTTTTTTTTATATAATTTGTTTGAATCGTAAATATTTTATAGTTTATTATTGGTTCGTGATGCCCCTAGCAGGAGATTCTGTAAACAAGAACTGTACACAAAAGTTAGTGAAAAAGTTTAAATAGACTGGCGCTGTTATAGACAATACAGCGGGGCGTTGGTGGCAGGAACACCTCAAACAAGTGCTCGTGTTCATGCAACTTTTACTCGTTACCAACACAAAACACTTCAGATGCAATTATTCCTTACCATTGTTGATTAACATAAGCGAGTGAACATTTGTGATTACTTGGTCAATATTTGGAAGACAATTCAAGTTATTTATGAAATTTGGTTAATAACGAAAGGCCTACTTCAGTGTGACCTGGTGAAAAAACCTTACCTGCTTGGCACACCTGAGAGATCCAGCACTAATTAGCAAGACGTCAGCTAGGAGGTTATCGCCTAGTGTTTTGCCTTTTTGCTAGTGCTGTACTGGGTTTCAGGATCTTGCTAGTACTAAATTCGAGGCCTTGCTAGTACTAGATTCAAGGGCTACGCTAGTACAGTAATAAATTCAATGTCTCTGCTAGTATTAAATTCGAGGCCTTGCTAGTACTAGAATAAAAAACTACTAGTACCTCCAAACACTCACTAGTACCAAGATCTCCGTAGCCCAATAAAAATAAAACAAATAAATAGTAAAATAATAGAAGAGGACAACTAGCAAGGAGAATAAAGTAAAGGGGACGAATCTATTAACGTCTACAAGGAGAATAAAGTAAAGGAGACGAATCTATTAACGTCTACAAGGAGAATAAAGTAAAGGAGACGAATCTATTAACGTCTACAAGGAGAATAAAGTAAAGGAGACGAATCTATTAACGTCTACAAGGAGAATAAAGTAAAGGGACGAATCTATTAACGTCTATCGAATCTATTAACGTCTACAAGGAGAATAAAGTAAAGGGACGAATCTATTAACGTCTACAAGGAGAATAAAGTAAAGGAGACGAATCTATTAACGTCTACAAGGAGAATAAAAAAAGGAGACGAATCTATTAACGTCTACAAGGAGAATAAAGTAAAGGACGAATCTATTAACGTCTACAAGAGAATAAAGTAGGGACGAATCTATTAACGTCTACAAGGAGACGACAAGGAGAATAAAGTAAAGGAGACTTAGTCTGGAGAATAAAGTTCTATTAACGAAGAGAATAAAGTAAAGGAGACGAATCTATTAACGTCTAAAGTAAAGGAGACGAATCTATTAACGTCTACAAGGAGAATAAAGCAAAGGAGACGAATCTATTAACGTCACAAGGAGAATACAAGGAGATAAAGTAAAGGAGACGAATCTATTAACGTCTACAAGGAGAATAAAGTAAAGGAGGACGAATCTATTAACGTCTACAAGGAGAATAAAGTAAAGGAGACGAATCTATTAACGTCTACAAGGAGAATAAAGTAAAGGAGACGAATCTATTAACGTCTACAAGGAGAATAAAGTAAAGGACGAATCTATTAACGTCTACAAGGAGAATAAAGTAAAGGAGACGAATCTATTAACGTCTACAAGGAGAATAAAGTAAAGGAGACGAATCTATTAACGTCTACAAGGAGAATAAAGTAAAGGAGACGAATCTATTAACGTCTACAAGGAGAATAAAGTAAAGGAGACGAATCTATTAACGTCTACAAGGAGAATAAAGCAAAGGAGACGAATCTATTAACGTCTACAAGGAGAATAAAGTAAAGGAGACGAATCTATTAACGTCTACAAGGAGAATAAAGTAAAGGAGACGAATCTATTAACGTGTACAAGGAGAATAAAGTAAAGGAGACGAATCTATTAACGTCTACAAGAAGAATAAAGTAAAGGAGACGAATCTATTAACGTGTACAAGGAGAATAAAGTAAAGGAGACGAATCTATTAACGTCTACAAGAAGAATAAAGTAAAGGGGACGAATCTATTAACGTCTACAAGGAGAATAAAGTAAAGGAGACGAATCTATTAACGTCTACAAGAAGAATAAAGTAAAGGAGACGAATCTATTAACGTGTACAAGGAGAATAAAGTAAAGGAGACGAATCTATTAACGTCTACAAGGAGAATAAAGTAAAGGAGACGAATCTATTAACGTGTACAAGGAGAATAAAGTAAAGGAGACGAATCTATTAACGTCTACAAGGAGAATAAAGTAAAGGGACGAATCATTAACGTCTACAAGGAGAATAAAGTAAAGGGGACGAATCTATTAACGTCTACAAGGAGAATAAAGAAGCTAAAACGAATCTATTAACGTTTACAAGGAGAATAAAGTAAAGGAGACGAATCTATTAACGTACAAGGAGAATAAAGTAAAGGAGACGAATCTATTAACGTGTACAAGGAGAATAAAGTAAAGGAGACGAATCTATTAACGTCTACAAGGAGAATAAAGTAAAGGAGACGAATCTATTAACGTCTACAATCTTAAACGTCTACAAGGAGAATAAAGTAAAGGGGACGAATCTATTAACGTCTACAAGGAGAATAAAGTAAAGGAGACGAATCTATTAACGTCTACAAGAAGAATAAAGTAAAGGAGACGAATCTATTAACGTGTACAAGGAGAATAAAGTAAAGGAGACGAATCTATTAACGTCTACAAGGAGAATAAAGTAAAGGAGACGAATCTATTAACGTCTACAAGGAGAATAAAGTAAAGGAGACGAATCTATTAACGTGTACAAGGAGAATAAAGTAAAGGAGACGAATTTATTAACGTCTACAAGGAGAATAAAGTAAAGGGGACGAATCTATTAACCTGTTTAGTGCTGCAGTTAATGGTCACGTTCCAGGTGTGAAGGTTACGGGCGTCGTCGTTACACACAGCACAGTGGTAGTTAACGTAGGTGGTGTTGGTGGCACGGGAGGTCACAGGTAGGTCAAGAACGTAAGTGTAGGCCTCTGGAGTTACCTGAGGAGAGGGAGGAGTGGGGAGATAAGGGGTGATTAAGTGGAGTGGGAAGGTGGGAAGGAGGTTAAAGAGGGGTGTGGGAGGGAAATAATGGGGTGGGGAGGTAGGAGAGAGGTTAGAGGGAGTGACGTACACAACACACAAAATGACATACACACAACACACACACATGACTACACACACACACACATGATGTACACACACACATGACGTACACAACACACACACACATGACGTATACACACACATGATGTACACAACACACACACACACATGACGTACTCAACACACACACATGACGTACACACACACACATGACGTACACACACACATGACGTACACAACATACACACATGACGTACTCAACACACACACATGACGTACACACACACACACATGACGTACACACACACATGACGTACACAACATACACACATGACGTACTCAACACACACACAACGTACACATACACATGACGTACTTAACACACACACATGACGTACACAACACACACACATGACGTACACAACACACACACATGACGTACACAACACACACATGACGTACACAACACACACACATGACGTACACAACACACACACATGACGTACACACACACATGACGTACACAACACACACATGACGTACACAATAGTGGTGTGCCAAACCTCAGAACACCATTACCTAAATTGGCCAGAGGCGTCGCATTAACATATCATAAACTACTCAAGCTAAAAATATGATAAATGACTAAGTATGTACACGCGCACGCACACACACACATGTACACGCACACCTCTCACTGCTTCATATATTAATGTAAGTTTTTTCAAGGTTTAATAATGGAAAAAATATGAGTTGTTATTCACACACACACACACGCGACGTAAACACAACACACACACACACACACACACACACGCGACGTAAACACAACACACACACACACACACACACGTAAACAATATGCCTCACCTGTTGTTTACAAAGACGCTCTACAGGAAGACCAACATAATCCATCCTACAGGACTCCACCATCATGAGGCCTTCCAGCCCCTGTAGGAGAGAGAGGGGGAGGTAAGTGAGAGACAGGGGGAGGGGGGGTACTAATCTTCAGGTGATGATGAAGGTAAACACACACACCTCCCCTAACACTCACCGAGGTCGCCATCTTGCCACAGGTGTATCTGTCGCTGTGTTCCTCTCTGCCGTCACCCCAGTCTGCTTGTGCCTTGTCCAAACAGCAGTCACCGTACACCACACACTCGTCGTCACACTGGCACTGGCTGAGGGGGAGATGGTAGTTAGTGGTGGTGGTTTGGGTAGTAGTAGTAGTAGTGGTGGTGGTGGTAGTGGTGGGGGAGGGATGGGTAGCGGTGGTGGGGGGTAGTGGTGGTGGGGATGGGGTAGTAATAGTGGTGGTGATAGTTGGGGTAGTAATAGTAGTAGTAGTAATAGTAATAGTAGTAGTAGTAATAGTAGTAGTAGTAGTGATGGTGGTAATGGCTATGGTCAATAGTGATGTTAATACTCCTGAAGGAACCCTGAAGAAGACTCACCTACAGAGACCTTTCCTGATGGGGAGGGAGTTGTTACGCCAGCAGTGTGAACTCTCATGAACACAGTAGGTCTTGTTCTTGGTCATCTGTCCCACCTCCTCCCATATATCCTCCCAGGCTACAACAGGGTACTCGTCTCCCATCATACCCAGGGTCAGGGCAGGCCAACACGTCACTACCAAGACCCATGCTAGTGCTCTCATGGTTACTAAGCCTGGAGGAGAGGAACTGACGCTGCTACTGACGCTGCTACTGATGGAGGCTCGTCACCACGTCATTCTGGAAGTACAGTACGGTCTTTAACTCTCACCAACCGGTAATATTTTCTCTATCCGAACATTCTCAATATTTACCGGATTTTAGTTAATTACGGTTAAGGTTTTATTAGATGTCAAGACCAATTTGTGTAGTTATCCGAAGTAAATTAACCGAATCCGTTTAATAACTCCAGTTTAAGGGAAATTTGACATATGATTTTGTTATACTACCGACACACCACACTGAGGTTCACGTGAAGATTAGGCACCCCAGAGATTATTTAACCTGTTGATTAAACACCCTAACGCTACCTGGGGGGGGGGGAGGTCAGGATAAGTTACAAGAGGTTAGGTCAGGATTAGGTTAAGTCATCATTAGGTTAGGTCAGGATAGATTAAGTCATCATTAGGTTAGGTCAGGATACGTTATAAGAGGTTAGGTCAGGATAGGTTAGCATTACGGTGTTAATCATCAGGTAAAATCAACAAGGGGTGCTTAATCTTCACGTGACCCCATACTGTTACACCGTGACCTTCTTAGTCATGGATGTGAACCTTGGCTAACACGACAACCACACCTCGTCAGGCTCAACTACCCCGGCCCTCAATTGACGTACGTGTGTGTGTGTGTGTGTGTGTGTGTGTGTGGGAGGGGGTTGATGAGCACTAAAATTTATTGACTTGTATTAATAGACAACAATAATAATAATAATAACAATAACAACTATGACAAAAATAATAACACTAACAATAACAACAGCAACAACAATGACTACAAAAATAACAATAACAGCCACAACAACAAGGATAACAACAACAATAACAAAGGCAACGACAACAAGAATAACAACAACACTCGTCTTTAGCCCCACACAGTCAGCCCCACACGGTCAGCCCCACACGGTCAGCTCCACACAGTCAGCCCCACACAGTCAGCCCCCACGGTCAGCCCCACAAGTCAGCCCCACACGATCAGCCCCAACATTAGCAGCCCCACACGGTCAGCCCCAACGGTCAGCCCCACACGGTCAGCTCCACGGTCAGCCCCACACAGTCAGCCCCAACGGTCAGCCCCACACAGTCAGCCCCACACAAGACGTCTGACTGTAACACGACACACATAATAAATCTTCCAATATCAATCCCATACCTCCCTCCTCCCCCAGGTCGTCCATCTTGTTGTGAGTCACCCTGTGTGTGTGTGTGTGTGTGGAGAGAGAAGAGACCGTGTGTGTGTGTGTGTGTGTGTGGAGAGAGAAGAGACCGTGTGTGTGTGTGTGTGTGTGTGTGTGTGGAGAGAGAAGAGACCGTGTGTGTGTGTGAGAGAGAAGAGACCGTGTGTGTGTGTGTGTGTGTGTGTGTGTGTGTGGAGAGAGAAGAGACCGTGTGTGTGTGTGTGTGGGAGAGAAGAGACCGTGTGTGTGTGTGTGTGTGTGTGTGTGTGGAGAGAGAAGAGACCGTGTGTGTGTGTGTGTGTGTGTGTGTGTGTGGAGAGAGAAGAGACCGTGTGTGTGTGTGTGTGTGTGTGTGTGGAGAGAGAAGAGACCGTGTGTGTGTGTGTGGAGAGAGAGAGACCGTGTGTGTGTGTGTGTGTGTGTGTGTGTGGAGAGAGAAGAGACCGTGTGTGTGTGTGTGTGTGTGTGGAGAGAGAAGAGACCGTGTGTGTGTGTGTGTGGAGAGAGAAGAGACCGTGTGTGTGTGTGTGTGTGTGGAGAGAGAGAGACCGTGTGTGTGTGTGTGTGTGTGTGTGTGTGTGTGTGGAGAGAGAAGGGACCGTGTGTGTGTGTGTGTGTGTGTGTGTGTGTGTGTGTGTGTGTGTGTGTGGAGAGGAGAGAGGGACTGTGTGTGTGTGTGTGTGTGGAGAGAGAGACCGTGTGTGTGTGTGTGTGTGTGTGGAGAGAGAAGAGACCGTGTGTGTGTGTGTGTGTGGAGAGAAGAGACCCGTGTGTGTGTGGTGTGGAGAGAGAAGAGACCTGTGTGTGTGTGTGTGTGTGTGTGTGTGTGTGTGTGTGTGTGTGTGTGTGTGTGTGTGTGTGTGTGTATATACGATATCTCCCTAACACATTTATATTCTGAATTAAAGATCAATCTTAGGTTCGTTATCCAAATATCACCTAACATATCATAACGTTACCCTCAGTTAATATTTCCTTTATTCTAAGTTTATTAACCACATCTCTATTATCTTTTATTTATGTTTCTTTATGTTATTGATTTTCTTTTTGTCTAGGAGCCATTAATTCAGTGTCATCCACCATTGGGCTAACTGAGGTACTAGTTTGAACAGACAGAGAGACGATGTTTACACTGCCGTCACAGAGGGATTAATAACATGTTTGTCAATACACCACCTCCCTTACACCCACACCTACACCTCCTTGAGAGGTACACATGAGGGTGTATTCTGGCAGTGTGACCTATATAATATACTCTAAATCTGCTAGGATTATTTGTACTCATGCCTACGAGTCCATTCTGTCACGTGAGCCAGGTGTCATACCGCCATACAGGTGAGACAGAACAGGTAATTAATTAGAACAGGTGATGATATGGTTAACTACTGATACTAACTCACTTATTTATCAATCAAATACTGGCTTTTCAATGGGGATTCGAGCCAGAGGCCAATAGACGGTCATCTCAGTACCATAACCACTCCGCCACAGTTTCCAATAGCACACACCAAGGTCATATGTACATGGTCATTCAAGGTCAACTGATAACACACACAAATTTTCCCAGAGTTCGATAATGTTATTGTCTTTGTGTTGCAGTAATTGTTTGGTCGGTGGAGGAGACAAAATTAAATCTGGTTTACGATTGGTGTGTGTGTGTGTGTGTGTGTGTGTGTGTGTGTGTGTGTGTGTGTGTGTGTGTGTGTGTGTGCGTGACAATTCTATTCCGACACCTTCAACAAAACTACACGACCTGACCTGACTTGACCCAACCTTACCAAGACCCCACCTGACCCATCTACACCTCTCCAAGGCCTGACCCGAGCTGACCTAAACACATCTACTCTATGGGCCAGACCAATCCTACCCGGGTTGTTGGGGGTGGGGGGGAAACAGATGAACTATGCCTGGAAATTGATAGGTAGGGTGACGCGCCTCCCAACCATCACACCTTGTTAGTGCCGTCAACATCTCCCCACCTCACCCAACCCCTCCTTCACCCCTCACCTCCTCTCATCCATCACCCCTCCTCACGAGAAGACAGAAACAAGAAGGAAGGCAGGAAGGAACAAGAAGGAAGGAGGCAGGAGGAAGGAAGGTGACTAAGAATGAGGAGGGAGGAGGAGGGTAAAGGAGGAAGAAGGAACAAGATGGAAGGAGTGTAGACAGCCAGTCATTAAAGGCGTGAAGAGGAGGGAAGGAGAGTGGGGGGGGGGGCATGACAGATTGTTGTCATTAAGGCCCCAGTGTCATGCTGTCAATATTTGTTGCTCATTATCGCCTTGTAAGACAAATGAGGTACACACACACTGACCTGACCCCCCCCTCCATCTCCTCCATCCTCATGAAATGAACTGCGTATATAGAGGGCATGAGGGAGGGAGGAAGAGGGGGGAAGAAGGAGGAGGGAGGGGGGGAGGAGGAAGAGGGAGGACAGTGTTATTGGTGTCAACTCTTCAGGTGGGCGTGGTGTGAAGGAGGAAGGTGGGCGTATGGTGGAGGAGCAGAAGGCGTGGTAGCCTGGTGGGCGTGGTAATACGGGTGGGCGTGGGATGGGGCGAGGCGTAGGGGAGAGAAGTGTTTACAAGGGACACACACACACACACACACACAGGTTGACACTGACCCTGGTCTCAGGTGGCAACGCTCTCATGAAACGGTGTCAACTTTACCTTAAAAATGGCACACGTCCACCTGGGGTTAGTGAGTGCCAGGGTCACCAGTGTGTGTGTGTCTGTGTGTGTGTGTGTGTGTGTGTGTGTGTGTGTGTGTGTGTCTGTGTCTGTGTCATGACTGGCTGAAACGTTGTACACATATATATATATAATCTATCAAAACAACAATAACTTTCACACAAGATAAAGTGTTAAGTCTACGCACACACACACACACACACACACACACACACACGCACACACGACATAGGTCACGTCTTTTTTGTGTTTGAAATAAAGTGAATCATGTGCCTTCTTACGTCATAACACAAAACAATTATCGACGAATCCAAATGAATCCGGATCTTGTACACGAACGACTTAGGATCCAATACTAATTCCTCGAAGTTATAAACGAAAGAACACGCCCAAACACCGTAGACTTTATGACCCTCACCCCGAAAATGGGAGCGAGAAAACACAGAACCTAACGTGACCTAACGTGACCTGGCCTAACGTGACCTAACGTGACCTGGCCTAACCTGACGTAACCTAACCTGACCTCACCTAACCGTGTTGACATAATAATCTAAACTTTTTACGCATGTGCATTATATACAAGGGGCCCTGCGAGAATAGGGGCCCTGTGAGTATGGGGGCCTTCTGGGTATGGGGGCCCTGTGAGAATACTACACCGGGTTTGTTAGCGTATCCCCCAGAGCCCACGTACGTTCTGGGAATAACACCAACACCCCCGCCCCCTCCCCCCGCCCACGCAAAGTTACGTCAAAATCGTTCTAAACTCCACCCCCATCGTTCGGTTTATAATACGTGTATCTGGTTGCCACAAGAGCTGGTGTTTACACGAGTTTGGGTGGCTGGCCTTTGGGGTGGGAAGGTGAGTTTGTGTGGGGTAGGGTAGGGTGGGGTGGGGTGAGGTAGGGTAGGGTAAGTTAGGGGTGAGAATGGGTAGGGTAGGGTAGGATGAAACCAGAGTTCTATTTTAACCTAGTGAAGAAAACTGAGTAAAGGAAGTTGGGTAAAAGATCTGGTTAAGGAGAGACAGAGCGCTTGTGATAATTAATGTAAACACGTCCATGAGTGAAGGTTGAGGGAACACTGAAGGAAGGAATGATGATGATGATGAAGGAAGTGAAGGAAATGGAGACTATGTGAAGGAAGGAATAAAGATGATGAAGATTTGGTGAAGGAAGTGAAAGAAATGATGACTTAGTAAAGGGGTTAAATCACCATACACAAAGGGTTAAATCAACATACACAAAGGGTTAAATCAGCATACACAATGGGGTTAAATCAAGCACAAAGGGTTAGATCAAAGACAAAGGGTTAGATCAGAGACAAAGGGTTAGATCAAAGACAAAGAGCTAGATCAGAGACAAAGGGTTAAATCACTCTACTCAAAGGGTTACCAAGTGCCCAGCCTTCCCCTCCCACCCTTAGGAACATTTTCTAGACAAGACTGACATGAAAACATCAACTGGAGCCAAATAAACCACTAACACACACCTGGTCACGCTCAGAATAAAACCAGGGTCACTTAAAACAGCTTGGATACCTTAAACCCACACTAGGTTAAATCATCGTACTCAAGGGGTTAAATCATCGTACTCAAGGGGTTAAATCACCATACTCAAGGGGTTAAATCACCATACTCAAGGGGTTAAATCACCATACTCAAGGGGTTAAATCACCATACTCAAGGGGTTAAATCACCATATTCAAGGGGTTAAATCACCATACTCAAGGGGTTAAATCACCATATTCAATGTCTTTTAACCGAATCACACAATCACCAGCAGCTTCAATAACGAGTAGTAATTAACATAGTCACCTGTGTACCTTTACCTGGGCCAAGATTGTGTGAGGTTACCTGAGCTGTCATCACGCTACACACCCAGGAGAGGGTGGTGTAGTGACTGACATACACACAGAAGCTACACACAGAGAAGGTATACACAGAGAAGGTATACACAGAAGGTACACACAGAGAAGGTATACACAGAAGGTACACACAGAGAAGGTATACACAGAAGGTACACACAGAGAAGGTATACACAGAAGGTACACACAGAGAAGGGTACACACAGAGAAGGTATACACAGAAGATACATACAGAGAAGGTATACACACACACAGAAGGTATACACACACACACACACACAGAAGGTATACACACACACACACAGAAGGTATACACACACACACATACACACACAGAAGGTAAACTATGAGCAATTACCTGATGATTAGACACCTTAGCATATCCACACACTGATCCACCTCCATCTCTACTGATCCACACACTGATCCACCTCCATCTCTACTGATCCACACACTGATCCACCACCCCCTCTACTGATCCACACACTGATCCACCTCCATCTCTACTGATCCACACACTGATCCACCACCCCCTCTACTGATCCACACACTGATCCACCACCCCCTCTACTGATCCACACACAAATCCACCATCCCCTCTACTGATCCATCCACACAAATCCACCACGATAACACAGGAGGCAATAAGACTCCAGGAATGACAGAGGATGTTGATGTTATGACCAAGGCTTGTTGAAGTTCCTACCGCCCTAGAGGGAAGAGATGAGGAGGAGGAGGAGGAGGAGGAAGAGGAAGGAGGAGGAAGAGAAAGAAGGAGGAGGAGGAGGAAGAAGAGAAAGGAGGAGGAGGAGGAGGAAGAGAAAGAAGGAGGAATAAGAAGAAAACAAACACAGACACACAGACAGCCAATCAAAACATCACAGGGAAAACCAACCAATCAATTTACTTCAATGTTAACTGCAGCACCAATCACGTAACAGCGATGGCACTAGTGTTAAGTGGTTATGTTAAGTGGTTATTTAAGTGGTTATTTAAGTGGCTATGTTAAGTGGTTATTTAAGTGGCTATGTTAAGTGGTTATGTTAAGTGGTTATGTTAAGTGGTTATTTAAGTGGTTATGTTAAGTGGTTATTTTAAGTGGTCATGTTAAGTGGTTATTTTTAGTGGTTAAGTGGTTATTTAAGTGGTTATGTTAAATGTTAATATGCCTCGGTAGCTCCTCACTTTAACAAAACAAACTAACACACTACAGTATTGATGTATTATATGTATATGTATTAGTTATGTATCACCTATATGTATACTGTATGTGTTGTATATGTGTAGCGATATTTAACACAAGTTCCCTAAGTCAAACCTTTATTAACAAGTTCAGTATTTCCATTATTTATACCCAATATTCATTAATACAAACTATAAACAAAACCAAACAAGTAAATATATAAACAAAAACACGTAAACACAACAAACACATTATAATGAATCCACACAGAGCCTCATTATCCCAGCCCAACATTAATTAATTCATTCATTATACACCAAAGTCACTCATGGTGCAGAAGGTTCCATTCAGATAATACAAAAATAAACCAAAATATTAAAAAAAAACCCAAGAGGAATCGAATAATTGTCCCCATAAACCAAGAGACGAGTTTTTGTCCCCATAAACCAAGAGGAATCGAATAATTGTCCCCATAAACCAAGAGACGAGTTTTTGTCCCCATAAACCAAGAGCAATCGAATAATTGTCCCCATAAACCAAGAGACGAGTTTTTGTCCCCATAAACCAAGAGCAATCGAATAATTGTCCCCATAAACCAAGAGACGAGTTTTTGTCCCCATAAACCAAGAGGAATCGAATAATTGTCCCCATAAACCAAGAGACGAGTTTTTGTCCCCATAAACCAAGAGGAATCGAATAATTGTCCCCATAAACCAAGAGGAATCGAATCAGTGTCCCCATAAACCAATAGACGAGTTTTCCTTACCGTAATAAACCCAAGGCAGTGAGTAGGATTGCCCCGTAATGCTTGTCAACATCCTATACTGCTTGAAGGACTCTTACCTCAGCCACACTAGGAAAATGTCTGAATGTCTGAATGGTTCCTGGATTCATATATATTTTTGTTGGTTTATTCAATATTGTGTAATAAATGATGGTTTGGTTCTCGTGTTATCTGTCTGTCTGTCTGTATGTCTATCTGCCTGTCTATCTGCCTGTATGTCTGTCTGCCTGTATGTCTGTCTGTCTGTCTATCTGCCTGTATGTCTGTCTGTCTGGCTATCTGCCTGTACTGTCTGTCTGGCTATCTGCCTGTATGTCTGTCTGTCTGGCTATCTGCCTGTATGTCTGTCTGTCTGGCTATCTGCCTGTATGTCTGTCTGTCTGGCTATCTGCCTGTATGTCTGTCTGTCTGCATCTGCCTGTATGTCTGTCTGTCTGGCTATCTGCCTGTTCGTCTGCTGGCTCTGTCTGTCTGGCTGTGCCTGTATGTCTGTCTGTCTGGCTATCTGCCTGTATGTCTGTCTGTCTGGCTATCTGCCTCGCCATGTCTGTCTGTCTGGCTATCTGCCTGTATGTCTGTCTGTCTCTGGCTATCTGCCTGTATGTCTGTCTGTCTGGCTTCTGCCTGTATGTCTGTCTGTCTGGCTATCTGCCTGTATGTCTGTCTGTCTGGCTATCTGCCTGCATGTCTGTCTGTCTGGCTATCTGCTGTATGTCTGTCTGTCTGGCTATCTGCCTGTATGTCTGTCTGTCTGGCTATCTGCCTGTATGTCTGTCTGTCTGGCTATCTGCCTGTATGTCTGTCTGTCTGGCTATCTCGCCCCATGTCTGTCTGTCTGGCTATCTGCCTGTATGTCTGTCTGTCTGGCTATCTGCCTGTATGTCTGTCTGTCTGGCTATCTGCCTGTATGTCTGTCTGTATCTGCTGTATGTCTGTCTGGCTATCTGCCTGTATGTCTGTCTGTCTATTTCTCACCTTGTCTGTCTGTCTGGCTATCTGCCTGTATGTCTGTCTGTCTGGCTATCTGCCTGTACTGTCTGTCTGGCTATCTGCCTGTATGTCTGTCTGTCTGGCTATCTGCCTGTATGTCTGTCTGTCTGGCTATCTGCCTGTATGTCTGTCTGTCTGGCTATCTATCTGTCTGTCTGGCTATGTGTCTGTCTGTCTGGCTATCTGCCTGTATGTCTGTCTGTATGTCTCACGCTATTAAAGTTATGACTCGTATTATGATTTGATAGTCAATCGCATTAGTGGATGAGTATAAGATTGGATGCTATTAATTATGAGTATTTTGCTAGTTAGAACACGGTAGCGTAATGAATAAACACACACACACACACACACACACACACACACACACAGACACACACACACACACACACATACACAAACAGACACACACACGATTTTAGTAAGATCAGGCACTAAAAGCCAGTGTCTTCATTCACCAGACGACGAAACCCACTCCACCCACTTACTCCACCTACGCCTCCACCCACCCACCCAATCACCAACTCATTCACCCACCCACCCGCCCACCCAAGGACACCCAACTCAACAGTAAGCAAGACACTTTACCTGGACCTCTGGCGGACGCTCCTTGTGGCGGGCGACGTGATGCAGCAGTGTCCTGGTACAGCCTGTGGGAGGAGGGAAAAAAACACTCAAATAACCTTTTCAAAATACCCTTTCTCTCCCTCTGTGTGTGTGTGTGTGTGAGAGAGAGAGAGAGAGAGAGAGAGAGAGAGAGAGAGAGAGAGAGATCACTGTCATGTCAACTGTGAACCCCTGAATTATTGAACCTTTTAAGCGAGCTGTTCCAAACCTTTTCCTCCCTGCGAACCATCTTATCAAAACACTCTCGTTCACCTCCCCACCAGGATAAAAATATTCGTGTAGCTAAACAGTTTGGTGTATGTAAACTGTCCCTCATTGGCTATCACGTCTATGGGAGTCTCTTGAGTCTTTTAGTCTTTAGGGAGTCTTTTGTGAGAGCCAGGCAGGTGTGTTGATCTGACTTGGATGCGTTATTAGCTGTCACTCAGGGTAAGTCAGCTTCAAGACCCAAGGTGCTGTATCTAAGGCAGCAGCAACACCTCAGGGTAAACACAGACTGGTGTTGAGAGCAGCGGCGTGTGAGGGATGTATGGGGGGGGGTGCATGTGGTGGTGGTAGGTGGTGGTGGTCGGGTGGGTGCATGTGGTGGTGGCAGGTGGTGGTAGGTGCAGGTAGTGGTAGGTGGTGGTGGTAGGTGCAGGTGGTGGTAGGCGGTGGTGGTAGGTGCAGGTGGTGGTAGGCGGTGGAGAGGTACACAAACATGACTGGCAGTAGTTGTGTTACAGTCAGGTTGTGTCGACGCTCACCAGTTACTACGTCACCACTCACTCACTCACCCATTAATGAACTACGATCACTTTTGAACTGTTAACTGGATAGCCATTAGGGTTGAAAATTGCTATGTGTATATACAGGTAAGTTAAAGGTAGCCTGAATAGATTAAGTCAACGATAGAGTCAATTAACGTTATATAGGAAGCTCTAGCTCACTTAATCCTTAATTACTGATGAAGTGTAATTAATAACCTCATTACGTGTTTAATTATGACACAATAACATCAAGTATTGTCACTCAACATAGGGAGAGTAATTATAAAGGTCAATTATAACCGGTAAGGTCATTAATGTATATAAATAATTAACTCAAAACACAATGCGCGATACTTAATGCCCCCCCCCAGCCCCCACCACCTGTCACCCTTCCTATATGGATGTTACTCTTGGCCAATAGTCATCTTCGTCTTAAACGCTCTCAACCAATCACCTAACACCTTTCAAAGATCATAAAAGCACCAATAAACACACATCCTCAATGTTTACATATCGCTTGTGTTTCTGTGGAAGGTGAACCAGGAGTGTTGCCTTACGAGGACAAGGAGGCGCTGGTCTAAAAACAATTGACGCAAGACTAAATATTTCCTATCTTATTAATTACCATCATTACACCTCTAAGTTCTCATCATAAGAGAAATAGTTCCTTTTTATATGTTCCTTGACGTCCAACCACATGTTTTCAGAGGAACATTTCAACCCTCGATTCATCTGACTACATAATATTCAGCTTCTTATAATTCTTCTCAGGTGATATAGGCGTTAGGTTAGGTCAGGTCAGGTTAGGTCAGGTTACATTAGGGAAGGTCAGGTCAGGTTAGATTAGATTAGGTCAGGTCAGGCTAGATTAGATAAGGTCAGGTCAGGTTACGTTTGGTTCTACAATGACTGACAGGAGAATACGTAGAAAGTTTGTTTGTTTATGAAAAATAATTTGTAAGGAGTTGCTGTACCTGTGACGTCATTTGTTTATTAAGAAGAAGTCAAGACCACGATGGTATTAAGTGCGTGGTGACGTCATTCGTATACTAGGTACGGTAGTCAAGGACATAAGTGTGGGTGGCGTGTGGGTGGGTGTGTGGGTGTGTGGGTGGGTGTGTGGGTGTGTGGGTGGTAGTGTGAGTGTGTGGGTGGTTTCGACGTTGGTGTGTAGTATGTGTGGTGTGGGAGGTGGTGTGGTATGGTATGGTGTGGTGTAGGTGTGGAGTTGGCAGATTATGTACACTAGGCATCATTTGAACATTATAGGCATAGTATGGGCATTGTGTGGCTGTGGGGGGTGACAAGTGAGGTCATACATACAACCATGCCCACACACACACACACTCACACACACACACCTCACACACACACACACACACACACACACACACACACACACACACACACACACACACACACACACACACACACACACACACACAGTCACACACACACTCACACACACACACACACACACACACACACACACACACACACACACCCTTTGGGAACACTCATTAGCATAAGATCAACTAAGGTGTGTTTAGTTCAGCAACATCAACCCCTTTGATGGTGCGGTTGGGAGGTGGCCAGCCAGCCCACCTGTTCTAAGCCACCTTGATAATAAACAACCTCTTCACTACCGGGACGCCATTTATAACACTGTATTTACTTTAAGTCAGATGATTGTATTCAGCTCAGGGATCCCTTAAACAGAGGGTTATGGCGTGTGGTGTTTGCTACTTAAATACATTACTTATATTGTTTACTACTAAAATACATTACTTATGGTTGTTTATTCTTAAAATACATTACTTATGGTTTGTTTACTACTTAAAATACATTACTTATGGTTGTTTACTACTTAAAATACATTACTTATTGTTGTATACTATTAAAATACATTACTTATTGTTGTTTTTTAAAACATTACTTATTGATGTTTTCTTAAATACATTACTTATTATTGACGTTGTATTTGTTTGCATACCTTAAATACATCCTCTAAACACAGTTAATTAATCAGGGTAATTTCAATCACTTCAACTAGTCACCAACTACACCAACTAAATCACTCACCAACTACACCAACTAAATCACTCATACACCAACTAAAATAAACTCACTAAAGACACCAACTAAATCACTCAACTACATCACTCAACTACATCATTGTAAATAAACCATTGCTTTACGGTCAATACCACAGGTGTTATTGACTATATTATCTCAACACCTGTTTCTACCCCCACAGGTGTTTCCATTATCCAGACAGGTGTTCTCATTACCCAGACAGGTGTTTCCATTATCCAGACAGGTGTTCCAATTATCCAGACAGGTGTTTCCATTACCCAGACAGGTGTTCCAATTATCCAGACAGGTGTTCTCATTACCCAGACAGGTGTTTCCATTATCCAGACAGGTGTTCCAATTATCCAGACAGGTGTTTCCATTATCCAGACAGGTGTTCCAATTATCCAGACAGGTGTTCCCATTATCCAGACAGGTGTTTCCATTACCCAGACAGGTGTTCCAATTATCCAGACAGGTGTTCCAATTATCCAGACAGGTGTTCTCATTATCCAGACAAAGGGTTAAATCATCGTCCTCAAAGGGTTAAGTCACAATCCTAACCTAATCTAACCAAAACTAACCTAACCAAACATAATCTAACCAAAACGTAACGTAACGTAACCTAACTCCCTCAGGTAACGTCAGGGTGTTTAATTAGTAGGTAAAAATAAATAAATAAGGGGTGTCTAATCCTCAGGTGGTGATCCCGCTCATATTCTATTAATAATAATAATAATAATAATAATAATAATTAACGGTTTATTGAAAAAGTTCTGCAGCCCGAAGGCTGAAAATATACATTGGACATAAATGACTTATTACATACATTGGTGGTTTAACAAAAGCCTTCATTAGAGAAAGGTAAAGGAACATACAGTGAACATACAGATTAATGTAGGTGTTGAACAGCAAACTCGTAGTGTAGTAACTCCCTCCAGATGGTGTTAGGAGGAACTCACGTGGTGTAGTAGTTCCCTCAGATGGTGTTATGAGGGACCTCACGTGGTGTAGTAATTCCCTCACAGATGGTGTTATGAGGGACCTCACGTGGTGTAGTAATTACCTCACAGATGGTGTTATGAGGGGCCTCACGTGGTGTAGTAATTACCTCGCAGATGGTGTTATTAGGGACCTCACGTGGTGTAGTAATTACCTCGCAGATGGTGTTATTAGGGACCTCACGTGGTGTAGTAATTACCTCACAGATGGTGTTATGAGGGACCTCACGTGGTGTGGTAACTCCCTCACAGATGGTGTTATGAGGGGCCTCACGTGGTGTGGTAACTCCCTCACAGATGGTGTTATGAGGGGCCTCACGTGGTGTGGTAACTCCCTCACAGATGGTGTTATGAGGGGCCTCACGTGGTGTGGTAACTCCCTCACAGATGGTGTTATGAGGGACATGTGGTGTAGTAATTCTCTCACAGGGGAGAAAGACGGATTAGTGAAAGACGGAAATAAATGGAAAAATAAAAGAGGAAAATAAACGGACTCATTCGACCAATTTTGTTAAACGGGAAAAATTAACGATTCTGGGAAATTATGACGTAGGAGATGGAGGGAAAAAACCCCACCCAGTCTTGTGAAGCTCAAGTAGTGACGGGCAGAAATGTTTACTTAGATTTTTTTATTATAAGTATTTTTGTTAAGTAGACCAAAATATTTTACTTAGATCTTTATTATAAGTATTTTCAACTTTCTGGCTTTTGCACTTTATTCAGTAAACCGTAAATTCTTCTTCTTATCTTCTTCTTCTTCTTCTTCTTCTTCTTCTTCTTCTTCGTCTTCTTCTTATTATTACTATTATCACTATCATCATCATCATCATCATCACCACAGCACCACACACCCCTCCCCCACACACCCCTCCCCCACACACCCCTCCCCCACACACACCCCCCCCACACACCCCCCACACCCCCACACACACCCTCCCCCCCCCACACACACCCCTCCCCCACACACCCTCCCCCACACACCCTCCCCACACAGTCTCTCCCCCACACACCCTCCCACCTGCCACAATTTTTAGTGTTTACGATCATAACATAACCCAGGCGCTAATTTCCACCAGAGGGCGAGCCACCTGGTTTGGTTCGGTTAACTTAGGTTGGGTTAGGTTAAGTTATAGCGAGATTGAGTTAGGTTAGATTAGTGTTAGGTTAGGTTAGGTTAGGTTAGGTACAGGAGTGAGGTCATACCTGGTGAAAGACTGTGTAATAGGTCATAAGTGTGTGGTTGTTTACATAGTGACTGCCACTGGGTACAGGAAATATCAGTGATGTCAGTAATACATTTTCTGCCTCATCACGCCGCTGGTTCTTGTTATAATAAATTACTGATGTGTGTGTGTGTGTGTGTGTGTGTGTGTGTGTGTGTGTGTGTGTGTGTGTGTTAGGGTGGTTAATCTTCAGGTAAAATAAGCTTAGCAAGTAAAGCTGCAAGAGGCATCATACTGCCTTTCCCATCTAAAATAACTCTCCAATGCTCCTAGCTTAATGTTATCACCCACCACTAGCGACCCACCCACCACTTGCACCCACCCACTAGCGACCCACCACTAGCGACCCACCCACTAGCGACCCACCACTAAGGACCCACCACTAGCGACCCACCCACTAGCCGACCCACCACTAGAGACCCACCCACCACTAGCGACCCACCCACTAGCGACCCACCACTAGCGACCCACCCACTAGCGACCCACCACTAGCAACGACCCACAGGTGTTATCAGTGGACTACTTTATTATGACAGGTTAATAATACTGATAAGGTCTGCGGTGTTGTCTCCTCTTTTCCTCCTCCTCTTCCTTATCTTTCTTATTTCCTTCTTCGTCTCTTCCTCCTCTTCCTTATCTTCCTTCTCCTTCTTATTTCCTTCTTCTTCTCTTTCTCCCTCCTCTTCCTCCTTATCTTCTTTCTCTTCGTTCTCCTCCTCCTCCTTTTTTTCTTCTCCTCCTCCTTCTTCTTTCTCCTTCCCCCACCTCCTTTCTTTCTCTACCCCTCCTCTTCTTCCTCCACCTTACAATTAGTATACACAAACCACCTCATTATCTTATTTGCACTTCCAAATCTCACGAACAAACACAAACCAAAAATTGCAAAAAATATAAAAAAAATAAATAAAAAAATAAAAAAATAATCTTTGGTGTGACGATTTTTATTATTTATTTATTTATTTATTTAACTCTAGTCTTTGGTATGACGATTTTTATCATTTATTTATTTATTTATTTAACTCTAGTCTTTGGTGTGACGATTTTTATCATTTATTTATTTATTTATTTAACTCTAGTCTTTGGTGTGACGATTTTTATCATTTATTTATTTATTTATTTAACTCTAGTCTTTGGTATGACGATTTTTATCATTTATTTATTTATTTATTTCACTCTAGTCTTTGGTGTGACGATTTTTATCATTTATTTATTTATTTATTTAACTCTAGTCTTTGGTGTGACGATTTTTATAATTTATTTATTTATTTATTTAACTCTAGTCTTTGGTGTGACGATTTTTATCATTTATTTATTTAATTATTTAACTCTAGTCTTTGGTATGACGATTTTTATCATTTATTTATTTATTTATTTAACTCTAGTCTTTGGTGTGACGATTTTTACTTATTTATAAATTTATTTAGAGTTCCATACGTGACCAAATGATAACCTTTTCTAATAGGGTTTTACCAGAGGCAGTGTTATGTGTAGCTTATGTATACATCAACCATAACAAGTTTGGTGGATCTTCGAGTGTTGGGGGGAATTTCCTGTGTATGTATGTGTGTGTGTGTGTGTGTGTGTGTGTGTGTGTGTGTGTGTGTGTGTGTGTGTGTGTGTGTGTGTGTGTGTGTGTGTGTGTGTGTGTGTTAGGTAGCTGTTACATCTCCTTCAGGTTACCTATATTATACATCTTTATTCTACTATGATATGACTGACCTTATAATCTTGAGGTGAAGGAGGAGGGGAAGGAGGGGGGCCAGATGCTTCTTCCTGCAATATATCATCACTATGAGGTGAGTGGATTTGCTTACCTGGGGAGGGTGCGTGTCAGGTGTCACCCCTTACCACCACTTGATCTTGAAATAAGTTGACTTTCAAGATCAAGTGGTTTATTTATGCCCCTTAATGCGTCACCCACTACCAGGCTAAGTGGCATAAGGTCATTTACCACTTTTTATTACGATATTAACACATTAAATTTTATCTTTGTCGTCAATGTGAGTTTTTTTAATGATCTTAAATTATTGTTATTGTTATTATTATTAACCCCTTGAGTACGATGATTTAACCCCTTGAGTACGATGATTTAACCCCTTGAGTACATCGTGCACACCTCCACCACCTCTTCTAGTTCGTCGTGCACACCTCTCACCACCTCTTCTAGTTCATCGTGCACACCTGACACCTCCTCTATCACCACTTCCTTCACCTCCTCTCCTAGTTCGTCGTGCACACCTCACACCTCCTCTTCTAGTTCATCGTGCACACCTCTCACCACCTCTCCCAGACCTCCTTCACCCCCTCACCACTTCTTCTAGTTTATCGTGCACACCTCTCACCACCTCTCCCAGACCTCCTTCACCACCTCTTCTAGTTCATCGTGCACACCTCTCACCACCTCTCCCAGACCTCCTTCACCACCTCTTCTAGTTCATCGTGCACACCTCACCCAGCTCAGATAACTGCCTCAAGCCTTCACCTCAAGACGGTGTGTAGGGCCACCTGGGGAGCCACTCGAGCACCACCTCAGGACCTCTACTGAAGGAGCACCTACGAGTATCACCTTCAGGAGATATTATTGGTGTTTAATGTTCTCTTAATGTTTACTGTTATTTCCTTCCCCTTTATCCTCTATAGTTATTCCCCTTCTTTTTATTCTTTTTCTCTCCCTTATTACGTCTTCTTCCTCTTCTTCTCTCCCTTATTACTCCTGCTTCCTCTTCTCTCCCTTATTACTCCTTCTGCCTCTTCTCTCCCTTATTACTCCTCCTTCTTCTCTACCTCATTACTTCTACTTCCTCTTCTTCTCTCCCTTCTCCTATCCCTTCCTACTCCTTCCTTTACTCCTATATCCTCCTTTTCCCTCTTTTACTCTTTCTCTCGCTTCCTACTTCTACGACCTCCTCCTCCTCAACAACCACCAACACAACACCAACACACCACCAACACAACACCACACCACCAACACAACACCAACACAACACCCCCAACATCACCAATACAGCACCACCAACAGAACACCACACCACCAACACAACACCACTACCTCCAACACAACACCACCAATACAGCACCCTCAACACAACACCACAAACACCAACACAACACCACTACCTCCAACACAACACCACCAATACAGCACCACCAACACAACACCACACCACCAACACAACACCAACACAACACCACCAAAATAACATCTTCTTCTCGTATGTCCAGTCGTCATAAGTGTTTCCGGTAGACAGGTAAACAAAGGCGTAGGTAAACAAAAAAGGTAAGAGACTCAACCAAGATGATGATGATGATGATGATGATGATGATGATGATGATGATGATGATAATGATGATAGTGGTGGTGATGATGATGATGATGATGATGGTTGTAGTGAGTGTTGGTGTTGGTGGTGATGATGGTCGATATAATGGGTAATAATGATGATGATGATGATGATGATAATGATGATAATGACGGAGGAGTAAGAAGAGCTACACTGGGCAAGAGATACAGGAGGTGTAGGTGTAGGTGGGGGGTAAACTGACACACACACACACGGTAAATATTTAGGTGTTACTGCCAGATGAGTCTGTGGCCTGCCTTCCTTTCTCCCTCATTCTCTCCATCCCATTCTTCCTCCCTCATTCTCTCCATCCCATTCTTCCTCCCTCATTCTCTCCATCCCATTCTTCCTCCCTCATTCTCTCCATCCCATTCTTCCTCCCTCATTCTCTCCATCCCATTCTTCCTCCCTCATTCTCTCCATCCCATTCTTCCTCCCTCATTCTCTCCATCCCAGTCTTCCTCCCTCATTCTCTCCATCCCATTCTTCCTCCCTCATTCTCTCCATCCCATTCTTCCTCCCTCATTCTCTCCATCCCATTCTTCCTCCCTCATTCTCTCCATCCCATTCTTCCTCCCTCTCCCTTCTTCTCTCCTATCTTCCCTCCTTCCCACCTATTCTCTCCCTTCCTCCCTCCCACCTATCCCCACCTGAAGATTAGACACCCTAGCTGTATTTTGAGAGCTATCGTAAAAATGTTGAGTGACTATTTTTGGTTAGGTGAGGTTTATTGTCTAGGAAACTCAGCATCACCCCTTAATGCTCCTTGAGTACGATGCCTTAACCCCTTGAGTACGATGCCTCAACCCCTTGAGTACGATGCATCAACCC